TGGAGTAGGGATGGGAAGAACAGGAGACTGTTTTATATATATATATGTGTGTGTGTGTGTGTGTGTGTGTGTGTGTGTGTGTATATATATATATATATATATATACATATATATATATCACATATAATGTAAGTCAATTTTGTTTTCTGAGTTAAAAATAAGCAGGTGAACACACAGACAGAAAGATGAATAAATGTTCAACTGAGAAACGAATGAGCCAGTTTTCAATTATTGGCAGAGGAGTCAAATGGGTAGAATTTTAGTAATTCAAATGAGAACATACCCCAAAAATTCAGTGACCTTTTCCTATCACAAAAACTCCTTCTTTCACATGGTTTTAAGACTAATATTGGCAGATAGGACCAAAGTTCAGTTGAACAGCCAGATATATTCCCAGGAAAATATGGGATATGACCAGGTTAGACTCCTATTAAGTTTGTGTCCTTCAGGGTTAGGCAGGTTTCTGTGAGTGAGCCAGGATGGAGAGGTTGATATGAGACTGGTGATGCCAGATATTAAGTTGAGTAAGACTAAACCTAAGATCAGTTGGTACTGATAAAGGCCTAAAGAGTAAGATGTTTTTAAGAGCAAATGGAAAATTTTAGTAGTAATTTGAAAAGATGAAGAGTAGGAAATAATTTAGGAGAAATTTTGTTTTTCAGCTAAAAAAAAAGATCTGAGCTTGAACCCTGAAATGATACTAGGAATGCATGGGAAGGTAGGGTGTTTGGGAATTTTTGGCAGAAAGGAGGAGTAAAGCCAAGAGACAAAATTTGTAGCTAATAAAAGGAAAATTTAAGTAACGAAAACCACAACAAAATTGTTTCTGAGCAGCCAGTTGGAAACCAAGCAGACAGTAAAATTCTAGTCAAGCTGAGTAGTGCTTCATTGTCTGCATGCTATACTCTGCATTACTGTTTCTCTCCATCCCTAGGCTCATGAACTTTAATTGCTCTATTTTTTTCTCTCCAGTGCTGATTAGTATGTTCCCTGTAAGGAAAAAATATGTCCTAGGCTTTCTAGAATTTCCCCCACAATACCTAGCACAAAGCCTTACTGGAATAGTAGCTCAGTAAATGTTAATTGGCAGAATTAATTAATGAACAGCTTTCACTTTATGTAATTAATTTTCCAAATTAAATACTAGATTTTAGTATTCCCAAACCTAGATTATATTTTACCCTTCTAATGTTGGGTAAATCAGAGGAGAAAGTTATGAATTAAGAAGTCATTAATATTTCATTTCAAAAAGAATTAGTGAGTCAAATGGCAGAAAGCAGGTAGGAAAATAAAATTTGATGTCTTAGGAGAGAGGTAAAAAATCCAAGACACTTTTTTCCTTGATCCCAGATTCAATCAATCAGGCCAAGGCCAAACTTTAAAATTTAGGTTTTGTGTGTGTGTGTGTGTGTGTGTGCGTGTGTGTGTGTTTGTGTGTGTATGTTTACTCTGACTGGTACTTTTCTTGTGCAGGTCTGACTTTTGAAAAGATTGACTTTATGAAAGCAGAGGTCTTGTCTATTTTGTTCACTGTTGTATCTCCAGCATCTAGAGTAGGCTTTCCTGCCATATAGTACTGGTTTAAGAAATAATTGTGGAAGGAAAGGAAAGAGGGATGGACTGGTGAGGTTAGAGAGGGAATAAAGGAAAGAGGGGAGGGAGGGTTCTGCCTTTCATGCCACTAAACATGGCACTTACTCATCAGTTACCAAAGACCCTTCTCAGTTTCTGTGTTAGGAAACAAGGATACCAAAATGATGAGATGCCATAATCTTTGCCCTCAAATAACTGATTGTTTAGTAGAGAGAGATATAATACACCAGGTGGTAAGTGCTACACCAAAGAGTTTTGGTGATACAGGATTGTGCTAAAGGAAGCATCTGATGTGCCCAGAGGAAGAGTGGGAGACAGAAAACATTGCAAACCTGAGTATCTATAATTATAAAAGAATAATATGCAAATCAACCAAATGGCCAAATAGCAGAACGATGTTCCAGATGACCACACTATGACACGCACTGGCGCCAGGTCAGCCAAGGCAGGTACAATGCAATTGGTTGGGGGGGGCCGCCATTGCCCCATGATCACCCCACAGAGTAAGGCCCAAGCCACCAGCCAGCAGGGCGATCAATTGGGGGGCTTTGATTGCCTCAAAGAGGGAGGCCCAGGCCACCCTCTACAGGGTGATCAATTGGGGTGGGGGGCTCCATGGAATTACAGAACCAGTGGTGTGTGGTGGTGGATGCAGGCAGCACCAGGCCAAAGTGGGTGTGAGCGAGGGACAGGGCCACGAAGCTGTGAAGCCGGCAGCAGGGAAGGAAGGCCTACCCTTGCATGAATTTCATGCATTGGGCCTCTAGTAATCCTAATAAACTCACTGGTGCTTTGTAGGCTTAAGAACATTTTAATCTCTATAGTCCTAAAAATGTGATTAGATTGAATAAAATAATAACAACTACAAATCATTGCATTTTAGCTATAATCGATTCAGAATCATTTTAATATTAAAAGTTAT